GCCAGTCACATCAATTCCAGAGGAGCTCTGCTATCCTTGTAATAGCTTCTACCAACCAAGCAGTAGCTTTTCTCCATTCTAAGCAGGTGGACAAGAGACCGATTTTGATCCCAGCACCTATGCACAACCAAGTCTTCCTGGCTTTCCAGAGCCTGCTCTACTTTCATCAAAACCGGACCAGAGAGCTCAAGACAAACCTCTTGCTCCACTCATGAAAACTCAGGAATGGGAAAGTTGTTTACATGTAAATAGGCTATTTAGGGTGAATACTTCTGGTGGCCAGGCCTGCATCTTCCTCTTTATTTTATGCATCAGAGACAGCCCAGCTGGAGCTCAGCAACAATACCAAGCCCTTTTGGTGCAGCAACATGCTCTTGCTGTCTTCTGCAAAAAGGAGCAAAAACCACTGAACCTTGAGAAAGCAGTGAACACAGCCAATAAAAGTGGTAAGGCTGTTGTCGCCATACGGGAGCTGAGCCGAAAGCAGCAATTACATCTCTGCATGAATGCCAGCCTCACCAAGGCAGATATCTGAAAGCAAAGGGAGCTCGCAACAACAGGGCATGCATAGTACAGCCAAAATTCTCTGCTTAAGGGAGCGGAGAATACTGCTGCCAAACAAACCATTTCTCATCAATATTTGTAAAATAAATTGAGCCTGTACTGTAAATATCCCTACATCTGTGCCTTTGTTGTTTCGGTGCCGAGAACACAAATAAGCATCACAGAAAATCTGCAATGGAGGAGTATCCTGAGTAGCTCTGGTAGGACTCAGCTGTTCAGTGCTCCTGCAAACAGGCCTTTGGGATCGGTGACAAAAGGTGCTACTGCCACCTTTTTGTGGCAGGAATGGGGGGAGCTAGTGGTCGTTCGCAGTCTCTTGCAGAAAGGGGGTTGGAAAACCTTTCTAAAGCAAAAAAATAACACCCCATCCTCTATCAATATATTCGTTCAGAAGGCTCTTCCTGGCTTTAAAACAATCAACCACCAAACAAAACTTGACTCACCACCAAATCATTTTGGACCTGAAACAGAACTCCCTAGCTACTCTCAAGACACCTGGCCTTACCTCACGCTATCTCTCGCTCTCAGCTGGTTCATCTGTCTCTTAAGAAATCACACTGAACGAGGGGGCAGGAAAAGAGACCTCTGAAAATTCTGATTTATATTTGGGAAAAGCACCCAAGTTTTTCAGATCTTTTCCCAAACCAAACCCCCTGAACATTCATGTCACTCAGCCCTCTGATGGATTACCACCAGCATCGTGTTTGCAACATGGTCTCCCTGGTTAGCATACTCCATTACTGTTTGTCACAGCATTATCTGCGGTTAAAGGAGCAATCTTGAAGTCAGTAGATCTATTCCCAGCTTTGCCAGTGATTTACGGCACAATTTTCAGCAAGTCAATTCACTTATCTGGGAAGAATACTTGCCTGCCTCATTTTGGTGATGTGGCTTAACGTTATATGTGAAAGAACTCTGTTCTGACCTGATGTAACGCACTGTACTTTATAATGTGTGGCACGTAAATTAAAGTATTAACTGGAAGAGATTTTAAAGTGTATTCCTTGTAACTCATAAAGGAAGTTTATTTTAGATAACAGCCTTTTGGAAGGAAAGCAGAGGGAGGAAGACATTAGCTTTAAGGTCAATAGAACTCTCTGCATTACAGAGATCAAAATGTTGTTTCCTCCCTCCATCGCACCACCAGGAAATTAAAAGCCAGATTCTGATCCCACTAGAATAGGACCCTGAATACTGAATATTTCTCCCTGAGGTCATGCTAAAATGTGCACCAAAGTTTATGATTATTATAATCTGTATTACAGTAACACTTGGAGCAGGAGTGGGCAATAATTTTAAATGGGGGGGAGGCACTCCTAGAATTTTTAAGTGGTCAAGAGCCACACTCTTCCATGATCTTGTTAATGGAGAAGGTGCAGGGATCTGGGATGGTGGTTGAGAGCAGAAGGGAGCTTGAAATGCAAGAGGAGGGGTGGGTGAATGTGACCTGGGGTAGGAAACTGGGGTGCAGGCTCTGGGAGGGGGTTGTGACCTAGGGCAGAAGTACAGGAGGAGGTGCAGGGATTTGGGTTGTGACCGGGGTAGGAGATTGTGGTGCAAGGTCTGGGAGGGGTTAGTGACCTGAAGCAGGGGGTGTAGGGTCTGGGAGCAGATAGTAATGCAAGAGAACAGGTGCAGAGGGTTTAGGTTACATGGGATAAGGGTGTCAGAGGGAGGCAGAGGTTTGGGTGAAGGAGGGGCCGGAGTGCCAAAGGCAAGCTTTGGCTGGGAGGCTCTTAGCTGTGCAGCCAGCTCAGCTGGTTCCTCAGCCAGGGTCCCTGCCTTCTATGTCCCTACACTATCTGCAGAGACCATGTGTGGCTCTGGACACTGCAAGCTCACAGAGGGGAGGGGTACTTTGCACGCTGCCTGTCCTGCAAACAGGCAGCTCTCACTGGCTGGAAACCTCTTCCCCCAGGCCCGCAGCCTCCAGAAAGCTGCTCTAAGCAACATGCAGGGACAGGGCAGACAGGGAGCCTGTCTGAGGCTACCACTGGCCGGGTCGAGAGGCTTGGCAGGCTGGATCTGGCCCACGGGCTGTATTTTTCCCTCCCCGACCTAGAGATTCCAATCAAGATGGAGGCACAATGTGCTATGGGCTGCACCCACCCCCACAGTGAGTCTGACCCCAGTGACAACCTAAGACAGGAAAGGAAGAGACAGGGTGAGAAGGGAAATAGACTTGCCCAAGGTCTGAGAAAGATGAGAAAAGAACCCAGGTCTCCTCACTTCTTGTCCAGTGGCCTATTCACTAGACTTTAGTGCCTGTGAATTTTTAGTTGTCACCGACACGTTTTGGCAGGACACAGGACCTCAGAGATAAGCCACATTTCACCACTACATGTTCTTCTTCACAGTCTATTTGCTGAATCAGGTTGGAGACAGCTACAGATCCCCTGACTCCAATGAAGCTATCCAATACTAGCTCGCCATCTCAACCACCGTCTCCATCTGCTGGAAGGATGACACAACTTTTGTTTGGACTGGCCCGACAGAACAAAAATGTAGGCAAAAGGGAAAACATGACCTCTCTTAGTTACGATATCGTTAGAGGCGACAGGGTACCAAAATTAATTACCTTTGGAGAACCAATTACTTTTACCGTGGGTCACTGTTTTCTAAGAAAAGAAGTGCCTCGACTCAAAAATGTAATTTTAGAAAAAAACCTTTTAAGTGTATAGATTACCTAAATCTAACCATGGTACAGCTACTTCTACAATAGCATATCAGTTTCTAGAAAGGTAGCCAGCAACCTATTCCCTTCTAAGAACAGAGCACTGTCAAAAACAAGCAGGAAAGCACAGGTTTCAAGATGCAGAGACAGAAAACACACACCAGGATATGAAAACTAAAACCACGTGAGCTGTGCTATTGTCAGTGCCAAAGAACAGAACCACGGCAGAGGCTTTCAGATCCTCCAGCCAAACCTCACAATTAAGTGACTACTTTAAAAAAAAAAAAAGTTTTCCAAATGTGGCACAGAGAACTGCCCCAAAACAACCAGCCAGAGAGCAAGTTTCTAGAATACATCTTCTTGTGAAAGACAATTAAGAGGAGGTGCCATCCAAGCCAAACAGTTGTCCAAAGATTGCATCATTTGTATATTTTTTCAGAGTTATGTTACTCTCAATATGCCGTGGTTGCATGGGCTTGGGGGTGTCCCTCTGCACGAGGGATGTGAATGGTTAACTGGTAAACACCGCCCTTACAGGGCTATACTTACTGCTTATGGTTAAACCAGATAACTAATTAAATAGGATTTTACATCCCTACTCCGCACAGGGGTGAATTGCACCCCTGCAAGTTCTGTTTCAACCATAAGCAGGTTCCCCTGTTCACTGCTGCCCATGTAACATCCCTTCAGTACCTAAGAACATAAAAACGGCCGTACTGGGTCAGACCAAAGGTCCATCTAGCCCAATAGCCTGTCTGCCGACAGTGGCTAGCACCAGGTGCCCCAGAGAGGGTGGACCGAAGACAATGATCAGCGATTTGTGCCATCCTTCTCCAGCCTCTGACGAACAGAGGCCAGGGACACCACTTCTATCCCCTATTCAGTCTGCTGCTCTCATCCAGCCCAATAGCCTAAGCTCTAGTTTCCCAGCCATGGAGCACGGTGGGTAAGTATGCGCTGTCTGTAAGAACATTCCAATCTCTCCCCCATCTGACAGAGTCATGTGTGTTGCAATCTCTTCCATGAAGATCCAAGGAGGGAGGAGAAGAGAGCTTTCATGCTGAATTCCCTTCTGAGGAGGGTAGGGGAAGCACAACAAGAGACAACATGCTCCATAGGGATGTTAAATTGAGATTAATTGGCTAGTCCAATAGTCAATGAAATTTGCATCGACTATTCGATTAGTTGATAGGGAGCCTCCGCTCCAAGGCCGATGCTACTCTTCAAAGGCGAAAGCACTGTGGGGAGCACAGGACCAGCGGGAGACTCAAGCAGTCCTCCGCTGGCCCGCTGCTCCACACATTGTTTCCAAGCGGCAGGGCCGCCTGG